TCTTCTTCTTCTTCTTCTTCTTCTTCTTCTTCTTCTTCTTATTATTATTATTATTATTATTATTATTATTACTATTATTATTAACAGGGAGCTGAGTCAGGGCAGTGTTGAATCCCTCCTTGGGTGAGGGTCCCTGCCTTGAAGGAGAAGATGGTGTGCCCCATCTTCAAGAAACCATTGCTTAGCCTGGCAAGTTTGGTAATTTCTGGCTGGTCTCCAACCTTCTATTTTTGGGAAAGATTGCTAAAGGGGTGAAGGGTCTGGAGATGCAGAAAGCCCTGCAGGAAACAGAGCTGAGGTTCTCTCCAGATATCTGGAGGGTGCTAGGCTTGGGATTAGACAAACAGATTAAGGCTCAATCCCAGCAAGATGGAATGACTTCTGGTGCAGAAGCCTTCCAATGTCAGAGACATTCCATTCCAAATTTGGTATTGGAAGAGCTATGTTTCTCTGTGGAGAGCTAGTTTGTAATCTGGGCTTCCTCCTGAGTTTGCAGATCCTCCTCAAAAAGAGCTACAATTTTACTTCTTGGTGGAAAGTCATTCGTGAGGAAAGTCATATGAGGACAGCTTGTTCCATCAGAAGGGCACCACCAGTAAGAAGGGCTCTGCTACTGTAGAGTCCCTATAGATGGAAGTCTCCAGCAGGATCTCTTCCCAATTCTTACTGGATAGGCAGATTCACTTTGGAGTAGGGAGAAGAATTTGATTTGGATTGCTCCATGGGGCATGAGGCTGATTACATTATACTGATTTTCTTTGTTAGTTATGTTTTAACCCTATTACTGTATTTATGTCAGCAAGCAGCTTGGAACTGGCTGTGAGTAGAGCAGCATATAAGCTTAGCAAACATCCTAGGGCTACCAGATCAAGGCAGCAAAGATCCAGATGACCCCTACGTGTCTGCAAACGTTAATGTTTTCTGTATTTCTTTCCTGCCATCTGGTGGTTTTCCAGATTGTTGCAGACCACATCCTATAGCCCTAAAACTCTTGTATGACTCCAGTCTTTATGCTGAACCGGGTTTCACTTCATGCTAATATACAGTTTAACCATGCGTCATTGAATAAAACACGGTTGGGTTTGCACAAAACACACAGAGAAAAAGGAATAAAAAGTAAATTATAGCTTAGAATGTTATATGAACCCCACCTCAGGATGTGTGTGAATGAAAGACAGGGGATAAAAACCAGAGAGAAGCTTAAAAGGATAAAATTTGATTTGGGGAATGGAATTTGGTGGACCATTTCTTAGAAATTATTTCAAATTAGGATTCAAATATTTCCAAACAGTCCTCCTCTCTCTTACATACAAAAGATTTGTAACTTTAACTAAGCAATATACACCAACATCCAAAACTACTTCCTTACTTCTGTTTTGTTTCCAATAAAGTTACATTTTTATTCTTTTTAATTACATCTCTAATTGTACCATTCTTACTCTTACATAAAAGAAAATTTATTTTCCTGGCACTGGATATGACTAGGGATGAGACTTCCTCTCTCCATAAAGTGGTATAATTGAATTATTTAAACAATATAATAGGAAGATGGTGAAACTTAGCAGCAGTATTTTGTTCCCATCTATCAAACTGATGTGGAATCTGATCTAGCACTTCACAAACACACTGAGGGAGGAAAATTACATGATGAAAACTCTTTAAGATCTCACAGCTCCAAAAGGTATGAAGTAATTCATTAATATTATTTACTCTTCTGCTCATCAAAGCAAAATGCCAAATAAAAGTACAACGAAACCACTACATTAAAAAAAGCCAAAATGAAACATTATTATTTAAATAAGCCAAAACTATATAAAAATCCATCACTGGTAATCAATGCAGTTTTTATTGCGTGTTTAATACCTTCAAAAATTAAGCTACAAGAATGTAGGATCAGTCTTGCACGTGTAATGGAATGCTGCAGAAATAGCAGAATCCCTTCACAATTAACATCAAAGACCACTGTAAACACTAAATACACAAGTAAAACATTCATCATCATCATCATCATCATCATCATCATCTCTATTCATTCTTTAGAAATTGCAGAAGTATGGTGTTGAGCTTTTACTGGCCTGCTTTTTAAGAGAATGAAATCTTGCAGTATGTATCACTGAAAATCTGAATATGTGTCCCCCACAATTCTAGACTAATAAATGCTGTTTCAAACAAATCAAAATGTCAATTACAAGTGTCTAAAAGGATTCATTCTAAAGTAATTCCAATTTGTGCTAGGTTCTTATGATGTCCCCTCCATTTTAAAGTTTAGCAATATTTAAATAATTTTCTTTTTCAGCTTTATAAAGTGTTGAATTGACATTGTATATTTAAATATAGATTTTAATAAATTTATATTTTATCTGAAGTCCTTAAAAATTAATTCAGAAGCTGCTTGTAGAGGTCATTAGTACATAGCACTAATATTGTACATACAACTGAACTATATTTAGTCCATAATCTTAGAAACATGCATAGTTTGTCATGGAAAAGAGGCTATAAGAAATGGTTTTCTTGCAAACTGTAAGTATACGCAGCGATTGCTTTGTTTTTGGAACACTAGTCAAAGTGAGATTAAAATAGCAGTAGGAGAAATTGTATCTTGGAAACCATGCTAGCTTCCCACACATAACTGAAAAAGAGAAATTGCTTTTAGACTTCTCATGATATGGAATGATACTTACATAATTTCCCTTTAACTACATTTTTTTACGTATTTTCAATACTTGTTGAAAATTGACTTAATAATCAAGATTTTGCTTAGCATTAATGTGGGTACTGAATACTGAAAAAGGGAAGTTAGGATAACTATTTTATACTTGAGGGTGAAGTTAGATATGAATGAACTTAATATGATAATACTTTTGATATAAAAGAAGCCTATATTTAAACTGTTTTTAAATTATTACCAATGTGTTTTTGGTGTGTATTACTAATACAAATTAATTATCTTCAGCCATTAAAATGGTATTTAAATTGTACTATTTAGTTTTGTTAAAAGTGATAAATGTGTAGCCAGCCTAACCTCTTCTATCTTATGTTTGTTATAGTACAGTAACGAATTCAGACCAATTATGTCTTAGGTGTTAATATTCATACTAGAACATTCAAAATCAGCTTTGTTTTTTTAAAAAGCAGCTTTGGCTAGAGAACTACCTGAGGGAGAGGCTTATCTCCTTCCCTGCTTATTGTCCTGCTCCAAAACTATCATTCAGAATCTGCTTCCCCTCATCCCTGTCCAATAGAAGTTCTAATTTTTATCTGCACACATTTGAGGCAGCAGCACAGGGTTGCTTCTGAGAAAGAAAATGTGTGTGTGGGGGGGGAGCTGGAGGAGGTCAAAAAAGGCAAGATGGCAGCCACAACCATACAATCGTGGCCCCACCTCTTTTTTTGCTGTGTCCAGCAACCTGGCTTTTTTGAGCCCTTCCCTGTGGACCAAATGTTACCTGTCCCTCCTGCAGCTGCTTCACCATTCTTAGTGATCCTTCTCCTTAAACTGCTTTTCTCAAACAAAACAGGGCATCCGGGCCTCTAAATATGTCTACCCACTCGAATGCAGCTTGCAGTCCTCAGGATTACAATGGGAGGGTCCCCTTACCTATTTGCTCGATGAAGTTCTTCCAAGAGTCTGCCGTCATGGGGTGAATCATCTGCAGAGCTTCGGGGAAAGCAGCTGGGCAGTCAGCCTGCTCAGGGGTCTCTTCCGGAAAAGAAGTTGGTCCCGCCATGGTAGGGGACTCACTTTGGTAGACAGAGAGGGAGAGAGGGAAACAACACCGCGGGAGCGTCAGTACCTCTTTGGAACCGTTCCCGGCCTGTGCCCGGAATCCCCGCTTTCCGAAGGCAGGGACTAGCCGGGCGGTAAGTGCTTACGGAATTAGGGCAAAACAGAGTGAGTTAATCGGGCTTCAGCCGTCACCCCTCGCTGCCCTTTCGTGAGTCTACCTGTTAAGAGGCACAGCCCTCTCCTCAACTAGGAGAAGTCCTTCGTTCTGGTCCCCAGGGCAGGTAGAGGACTCGCGTATTCCTTCGCGGGCAAACGAGAAGGGGGGAGGGTGACCAAGCGGGGGCGAGGCGCCATCGACGGCGGAGTTAACTCTTGCAAGCCCTTTAGGGGCTTAGGGAGAGAACCAGGCGTCGGAGAGAGCCTGAGGAGACCTGCCGTCAGCCAGCTGGATCGGGGCGGCCGAGCCTCCACTTTCCCTGCGGAGTCAGTCGGGCCCGAAATCAAACTGAAGTTCTGGCGCTCAGCGTCCTTCTACCTGGAAAGGCGCAGCAGCCGGAGTTCGCGCTCCGGAGGGAAGAAGCGAGCGGCGTCGAGGCTGGGGCGGAAGGGGCGCCCCCGCGGAGGACGCGCCAACTCATCCCACTTTTCTGTCCCTCACCTGCCAGCTGGGCGGGCTCCGGCCACGCTCTCGGCAGATCCTTCGTGGTCCAGGGCGCAGGCGGCGCTGAGCGCCGCAGCCAGAAGCTCCATGCGAGGCGGCGAGGAGGACGGCGGCAGCAGGAGAAATCCCGGCAGCGGGCGGCTGCGGCTGCGGCTGCTGCTGCTGCTGCTGCTACTGCTGCGGAGCGATTCCGCCGCAGACGCGGGACCGGGGAAGTCCGGGCGGTTGCCACGGTAACCGGGGTAGGAAGGGAGCAGCCTGCGCAGAAGGGAAAAAGAAGGGAGGCGGAGGAAGAGAGCGCGCGAAAGATCGGTGGCGGGGCAGAGAGGCAGCCGCCGCCCCCTCACACTTTTCCTTGTCTTGGACTTGTCCAGGTCCCGGGCACCCACTTCTTTCGCTGAAGTGGAAGCTGAAGCCCTTTCCCTGAATAGCTGCCTTCCTAAACAATCGGGAGAGGTCCAAAGGTCTCCTCGGAGGTCGCCCGCCTTGCCTGCCTGACTTGATGTTTAGTTTCAATAAAATAAAAATATGAGAAGCAAACTGCCAGCATTATGGTATTTTCATTTCCCAGAATGAATCTATCTGAGCTGCTTTCGAAGTAGACTACATTTGTCTTCAAAGAATGAGCCATAATGATAATGGGTCTCTGACCATTGTTGACACTACCATGGTGGGAAAACATAGATCCAAAAATAGGTGGTCTATTTTACATGAAATTCACCTGAAAGCACCATCAAAACACAGAGTCAAATTCATTGGCACAGAAAGAACCATAAGAATCACAGATCTGATTATTTCTGGAGCTGTCGTGGGACAAAAGGCAAATCCAAGGCATGGATTCTAATAGATTCCCACCGTGTTTCATGTGATTCACTTCAAGCTATTGTCAAACTACAGATAACATCTGTCTACGCAAAGAGTTCTAACAGCCACAGATATGACCATTTGGGGCATGGTTATCCTGATGCAAAACTAGCACAAAACCCAGATCTGATGCACGGATCCTCACAATTTTACAGGACTGGAATCCACTGAAACCACTGCAAACCATAGTCTGTGTCCCCATTTGCACCTAGCCAAAGCACAATCATGCAGTGGTAACACTTACTTTTCAGTTTGTCCCATGACATCATCATCTTAATCCAGCCCATAAGTAAAAGAAAGTTTAAGTCATCTATAGTTGTACCTTCTTAGTTTCCCCTTTCCTTTCATTCTTCGAATTTTCCCCTACTCCAACACCACCCTAGGGTACCCTCAAGGTGAATAAAATCTGTTAGGCTTTGTGACTAGGACCAGAGCCAAAAGAGACAGGAGGTCAAAATAGGAATTGGCAAGAAGGACAGCCAGTGTCAAGCCTTTATAGTTTTCTGTCAATGTAGGGATGGGCAGAGAGTGGGGAAAGACCCACAGATCATATCAGTCTGCTAGGAATGAATCCTTAGAGCCACAAATCCAACTCTACCTCTCTACCATTTCCTGAGCCCAATGAGTTGATGAAAAGCCCATATGGAGCAGACTAGCCTAACTATATCCTAGAATTATGCAGTCTGAAATGACCTCAGAGATCATGTAGTCCAGCCTCCTGCTTGGTGCAGAATTCACTACAGAATTTTGGCTATCCAGCCTCTCTTTGAAAATGTCCACTGGAGGGGAACATGCTACTAAGCACTTCATGAGGCAACCTATTCCATTGGCTGAAAGCTTTTACTATCAGGAAATTCCTAACTCGAATCTATTTCACTGTGGTTTCAAACATCGGTTCTGCCCTTCAGGGTGACAGAGAACAAGTCCTCTGTCTGCTGTATTCAAAACCCCTTTTTACAGCTAAAGATTGCAATTATATCTTCTCTTCTGTAGACTAAATGTACCCAGTTCCTTTAACCACTCCTCCTAGGACTTGATTTCCAGCCCCCTCACCATCTTGGTAGACATCCTCTGAAGTTGCTCCATGTCTGTTATAGACTGCAGTGCCCAGAACTGGACACAGAACTCAAAGCAGGACCTGGGCAAGGCAGAGTAGTACATCCTAAAATAGCTTTTGCCATATCCTGTGAAGGATAAGAGAGCTTACAAAATAAAAGTTGCATAGTCCAACCCATCTTCCTGATATTGTTCACCCTCCCTTTAAAATGTGTAGAAATTGTAGGATAATGGTGGAAGGTACACACTACACTTCTATAAGTCCAGAAGTTTTCTTTCCCTGCTGGAAAACTGACTAGAAGAGGAAAAGCCTGGAGTCTGCTGGGAAGACCCAGTTCATAAAATGAGTAAGAATGAGAAGTCCTAGGTGAAATTGACTGGTAAATGGGAATTCATAGGAGAAGTTAACTGGAATTGACAAAGTAATTTGTTCTAGCTACCTGGAAAGAGGGGAAGCCAAGCCTCTCAGCCTGCCAAGGAGTTTGCAGCAGAAATGCACCTATGAACAAGCATAATTAATTTTAAAATATTGTTTCTATGCAGATCTACGTGGCTGCAGACAAATGACATTGTAAAAAAAGAAGGGAACACAGCACTATTTGAAGCCTATTCCTGCACTGCTGTGCACTGCTTCAGAGAAAGAAAGAGGGAAAAGAGATGTGTCATCTTCTCTTTCTCCCACGTTTACACAATGGCTGGGTTTATACAATATGTTTAGCTTGTTAACTTTTAACCTTAGTTGTTTGTGGCTCACCATTTTGTGCAACCAAACCGATTCAGTTAGCTTATGATTCAATGTATTGTGCAAATCCAGAAAATAGATGATTTCCATAGCCAAATTAAATATGTTGTGCAAAACTAGCTTTGTACCTTGTGCTCACATTTCAAACATGGCAAATACTGCACTGCATTCAGTATCGAGTGTTTCCTGGGTAGCAGTTTGGTTTATAAAATACAGTCAGTGCCTGAAACACAAAAGGGGGTTCAGTGCCAATCTTGCAGAAGTGTCTGATGGCAACTTTTATGGGGATGAATAGCAAATAAGCTGAAACTTAATGAGTTCTGTTGAGCAGGGACTATGTGATCTGGACAATGGCATGTATCTGTCTTTGGATGAGTTTACCATCCACTAAAAGACCAAATATGCATGAGAAATATGCATATTCATCTCTTCATCTATGCCCTTGTTTAAATACTTATTATGTTTTTATGCTGCCCAATAGCAGGAATTCTTTATTGCATAGCTTCATTATTCTATTATTCCAAAGGTAATTTTAACAATTATTTTTAAAATTTCTGCAGTGCAGAGGAGAATTATCCAGTATCTCCTGGTGATTTTTTATCCAATGCTAACTAGTTTTTATCCTGTTTAATTTTTCAAGATCACCCAGTTGTGCTAGATACTGCCAGTTAGCTGAAAGCAAACTAGGCTGCACATTCCATTAATTTCCATTCCATACCATCTCTAATCAATCTCAAAATATTTTATCAGAGAACCCAATCTAATTAATTTCATAATCAGTTTCACCATGCTGTTAGAATTTTCCCCACATATACTTTCTTCCAACTGTATCCTACAAGTATCATCATTTTGCAACACACTGAATTTGGCAGTACACAAAAATTAAACAAACTGCACAGGAGACCTTTAGTAAATGGAATGAAAGAGAAAATGAATTTAGAGGGAAAACAGCAAAACAAATTGGAGCATATGTCAATATTCATCCTGGTTTAGGATTTTGGCCATCTTACGGAACAGATCATTACAGTGTGTTGTACATATGTTAGTGGTACCTCATCCATTACCAGATGACCTTGCCTGCAGATATTTTACAATAGGCAGGGACAAAATTGAAGCTTCAAGGAATGATCCATAAAGTAATGGCCAGGAAGTTGAGAAGACATCCCTCATTAGTAACACTATCCTCTGAATCCTTCCTCTAAATTGAATTGGAACCCATTGTCTCACTGTGCCCCATGTTCCAATCTATAGAGATGCTCCAGAAGGATGTAATGACTGAGGATGAAACAATCCCTGAGAGGCTTTTAACATTCACAATCTGCCTACTTACCCCTAAAATTGCCTGTGACTACTGAGATGTCACTCATAATCACTCAAATTTCTCAGAATAATGCACTGTTCTATCATTAGATTATTGTATAAAAAAACAGATCTAAAGAGGCATATAGACAACTTTGAAAGCAACTTATGGTAGCCTAAAGTCTTTTCATGCAGTCAGGAGGACAGCTGTAGGGTTAGGGTTGTAATGGGTATTCTTATAAACAAATCTAGGTTTATATCTAATTTGAAATTATTTCTCATATACTTTGCCATTTACTGCCAGACCATTAACCCATTTCTGTGTTTTCTGCTTTTTATTGGCAGAGATTCTCCATAGTCTCAACTCATTTCCTTTTATGTTTCTCAGAGGTATCTAGATGGTGGATTAGATGTTTGTTAGGTCTGATCCAGCAATGCAATTATGATATTCATCTGCTGTCCAGCTTGAATTGTTTTGTAAGCTACAATATAGGAGGAGAGCTATTTTCTTTCTTTTTTTTTTAAATTTTAGCACATCATGGGCATTTATTCTTATAAAATGAAAATTAAGAATTGAATTCACTCTTTTGCATCAATGCGGAGACATCCAGGTTTAAACTACATAAAGACACTTCCATCACTGGGATTTTAGAACTCTAGTAATTACTGCCATCTTCTTTTTGACACAATCTGCCTCCAGAGATTCACTAGTTCTGTAGAGATAATCTCCCTGGAAAAGAGTGGTTTACAGGTACATTAATATTTCAAATCCTTCTGGAATTGGATTTAGGTAATAAAGCAGTGTTTCTTAACTTTAACAACTTTAAGATATGCGGACTTCAACTCCCAGAATTCTCCAGCCAGCCATGCTGGCTGGAGAATTCTGGGAGTTGAAGTCCACATATCTTAAAGTTGCTAAGGTTAAGAAACATTGTAATAGAGAGATGCAAACGAGATCTCTCTCCATCCATACAACCTTTAAAGAACATAGCAGGGGGATTGTAGGATTATACAGCTAACCCTTTCCTGATGCTGATGTGTGTCATGGCTGCACATCTATCATTGTGGCAAAACCATATTATAACACCTGTTCCTTCAGGCAACACATATGCTGATATATGCACACAAAGACCCTTATTTGAGAGGGGATTCTGATTTGGCCAAGTTCTTCCTCCACATGTGGAATTCTTGACATATATTAATCTTCATAGACAAACAGTCCCATCATGCTGTCTAAACATATCAGAATAATTTCCACCAGAGTTTATGATTATGTGTGACTATTGCATTTGTAAGA